GAGTTGATTTCCACTGGTCAGAGACAACCCCTTTTCCAAGCACATTTAAACATTCAGAGGCCTCCGTGAGACGTCTTTGGTTATGAGAGAAACCAGAGAATTCAATTTATTGATTATTTGCCAACCATAATTAATAAATTGATTATTAATTACCCAGAAACTCTGTCTCTCAGGCTTTTCCTTCATCTGGTTGTTGTCCTAGGTTATAAGTGTGTGGAAGACTTGGTAGGTTACAGGTATGACCTTGCGGTCTGCAATGAGATTGCCCTAACATGCTCTGAAATTCAGAGTTCAACTTAGCAAAATTTGTAGTGAAACATAAGCTCAGAATGGTTAGTGAAAAAGCCAGTGAACCATGACACTTATGAGCACAGGGTGAAGATCATAGGAGTGAATTGCCTGTTACTCTTCTGACCAGTGAGTTATTAACAAAACATTGATAAACTTAAGCCTTTGGAGTACTTTTGTTTAATTGGTTTCTTTAGACAAAGAATTCCTTTGCAGTATCTAAGAACTAAATTAAATAAGATATTTGAAGACAACTTGAGCTATCTACTTAGTGTATGCAGATTAAGCACTTTAGAGAGGGTATTAAAAGCCTCCAAGAAAAGCAGAGTCAGTAAAATAACAGTCAGTTTGCTGCAGTTAAGACCTGATTGAAATGCCCAAATAGCCTTCCATTTGGACTGAGCACATTATCTTTCATAGTCCACAATCTGGGGGTGTAACAATCCAACCACATTGGAACCTGCTACAACAATACAGTAAAACATTGATTATAGGGCACACCTTGGGAATGGAAGGGTCTGGTTAATTTAATTTTCTCAGTAGCTGAAGGTTAACCAAGAATTCCACCCTTGAACAATGAGTTTATTCAGATCCCTTGACTGTATTTTTACCTATGTGACAGCACACTTGAGCCAATACCCCAAGTAAATACCACACTGGCATTTACTCCCATGTGTAACACATCCTCTGTAAGGAGGAAATTTTGTGAAACAAGCCTTTCTCAGACTCCTTTCAAGGGGTTACAAAGTAAAATAGTAACTATTATTTTTGTAGCACTTTGTGATCTACAAAGTGATACACACACATATGATTTCATTTGAGACAACCACCTTGTGAAATAGGTTATTATCCTTATTTTACAGATGAAGAAACTGAGGCTACAAACAGTTAAGTGATTTGCCTAGGGTCACAGGGATCTTAACATTTTTTTGTCATGTACTCGTTTGACAATCTGATGATCTTTTCTAAGAATGTTTTTAAATGCATAAAATAAAATATATGATTGCAAAATAAAACAATTATATTGAAATACAACTACCAATTTTTTTAAAGTTTACAAATCACAGGTTAAGAACCCCTTGCCCAATAACCACATTCTTTTCCATCCTTCTTCATCTCAAAACTGCTCTCCTTCTCTTTCCCAAATCATTCTGGTTTTCCAAACAACGCTAGTGGCCTTAGGGCAGAGTATATTCCATTTCTAAATGGTAGGCGCTTACTACCTCCATCTACCTGACCTTAACCTACCAGGCAACTTGGCAGGAATGAGGACTAAGGTATTATCTTTTCAAGTAGATCAATGTGGCAGGTAGATCAGGATGTGCCTTCATTGGTAGCAGGAAGTTGCAAAGGTGAGGAGGCTGCTCAAGTGCCTTGAGAGAGGCTGAGGCAGGAGCCCCATCCTCTCCAGCTAAGTGTTGGCTGCTCCACTGCCCAGCTTCCACATGGGTCCAATGGTACTCCACCATCATCACACATCAAAAACAAAAACTTCCCTGGGTTGTTGGAAAGTTGGGATTGGGTTTAGCTGATTTTCAGAATGACAAAAATTCAAAATTAGATAGGACTTCTGAATTAACTATTTCAACCTGTCCCAAAAGTCCCAAGAAGTTGCCATGCTTTTGTATAGGTTGAAAGATCATATATTTAGAGCCAGAAGGGACCTTAAAGGTCAATAAATGGAACTCCCTCATTTGTAGATGATGAACCTGAGTCTCAGAGACATTAAGCGACTTGCCAGGGTCATAAAACTAGTGAAGTGTCTGAAGTGGAGTAAAAACAGAGCTTTTGTTTTTCACTCTACACTGTCCTGAGATGGCTGAAGTGATCCCAAATGATGAAATGTCTAGAACCGGAGAATTATGAAGGAAAGTTAGGGAGCTGAAACTATACTCAGCTCCTTAACATCACTAAGTTTAACAAGAAGTATATTTCTGAAATACCCGAACCTCTTTAATAGCCTTGTTTCAGTTATAGGATAGACTCATGACATCAGGAGAACATTCTTTCATATTTTGAGAAGCTTGAAGTGAAGAATGACCTGAGTAGCCAATCAATGGGCAATTTATTCCATACAGTAGCAATGTTGCTAATGGTCTCTCATGACTGAAGGGGACTTCATTTAATTCAATATGCATCTACTATGTATGAGGCAAGAGACATCACGGGTACAGGGGTCCTGTGGCTTCGAAGCCACATGTGACCTTCTAGGTCCTTGGGTTCAGCCTTTTGACTAAATCCAAGTTTTGCAAAACAAATCATTTTACTAAGGGGATTTGTTCTGTGAAGTTTGGATTCAGTCAAAGGACCGCACTTGAGGACCTAGAGGTCCACATGTGGCCTTGAGGGTGCAGGTTCCCCACCCATAAGTTAATGTATACAGAGAGAGCTTCAGTATCAGAAAGACCCATGTTGAAATCCCACATTTGACACAACTAGCTGGCGTCCCTGGTAGAGGTGCTAAACTTCTCATGCCTCAGACAATTCTCTAAGACTCTAAGTTAGCCTAGCACATAGTAAGTACTTAATAAATGCTTGTTGATTAATTGACAACTTGATAAGCAGTAGCTGCTTAGCATTAGGAGGGGAGTTTGCTCACCAGAAGCTCCTCACACCAATGAGATCACAGAGCTGAGTTGTTGTGTTTTTTTTTAAATGTGCAAGGAACATGCTAGATGCTAAGGCACTGAAGACAAAACAAAACACAGCAGTCTTTATCCCTAAAAATCCTATGTTCTACTGGGCGGCACAAAACAATTAAACAAATAAATACAATATAATTTGAGAAATTACAGTTCTCTAAATAACAGCTCATACTCATCAATATACTTAATCTCAAGCAAATACTAAGTTTGAGGTATGAAAAAGGTAGAGGGAAGAAGAGCTAGGTCATTTCCAATACCTTTTCCCCAAAAAAGTCCTAAATTTGGCCAACTCGGAAAGATTTTTTTGAAACAGTGTTTCTCACACCATAAAGTGCAGCCAATTAGGAATCACTGGAGGGCCAATTAGATAGCTGGTTCAGGATTATCCAGACCATTCTTCTGCTTATCCTCACCTATCTCCATGAGAAGATGGACAGGGAGAAGAAGGAATGCTCACATGTATCCACTTTCAGGAATTTTAATGAAATGGTTGGTGGAAGAGGTTAATTTATTAATGCTGTGGCTAAAGTGAGAGGTTGATATTAACTGATCAACAAGCATTCATTAAGGATTTACTCTGTGCTGTCTGGCTAAGTGCTGGGGATACAAAGAATGGAGGGAGGCGGAAGCCAAAACATTTTTCATGCACTACTATTAACCTTGTTCCCTGTTTCTGTTTAATATGATAAATGATTTTCAGAAGTTAACTATCTTTCAAAACAGGAATTTCTTTCACTCATTCAATTGACCTTGGTTAAGTACTTACTAGTTGCAAGGCACTGACTGAGTGTTGGCTACATCATGGTAAAACCTTGCCCCAGTATTTGACCTCAAGAAGTCTGCATTCTACTTGCCTAGGATGTGGCAGCCACATCAACTTTTGCCAGATGGCACAGTGGATAGGATGCCAGCCTTGGAGACAAGGAAGACTTGGGTTCCAGTCTAGCCTTGTGGTGGCCATAGACAACTCACTTAACCTCTGTGGCCCCAGGTTAAATCTCTTGAATGATCTCTAAGGTTAATTTCCAGCCCTCCCATTCTGTGATTCTAATGGATTCCAATTTTCTTATTCCAGAAACCTGAACAAATTCTTCTGGACAATTTATTTACACACGGGCAAAAGAATAAACTTGGCACTTACTAAGGCAACTAACTGTGGCGTTAATTTCATGTGTTTCTTTTCTCCCATTTTCTATTAGTGCTGATGTGAAAATAGAAAAAAATTTTGCAGCATCACTTTCACTTGCACCTGTTTGAGGAAGAAATATGATGGGGTATCTCTGGCTGCCAAAGTTTCATTTTGTATTAAAACCACTGAAATGATGACTTCCCTAGGACCAGGCATCTAATACGTATCAGAAGCAAAATTCGAACCCAGGTTTTATGACTCCAAGCCTAGCACTCTGTCTACCACACCTTGCTGCTTCTATCAATCAATTAATAGGTAATTATTAAGGGTCGCCCACATGCCAGACCCTGTGCTGAGCACCACAGAGACAAAGACAAACACAGGCAGGTCATCCTTTGCCCTTCTCTTTTACAGTGTTACTGTAATGCATATTTAAATGACTTTCTTCCATCCTCCTACTTTCTAAATCCCTTGATATTGCCTCCTTTTTGAGAAGGAAATAGGAAGCTTTCTTTTAAATCAAGGTCTAATTTAAAATTTCCTTTCCAACAAGAACATGCTAAAGGTCCTACCACAACATATGCATATCTCAGCCTGAACAACAAAGAGCATCTGAAGTTAGGTAGTCCTGTTAGAGGTAGCTTCTATGTGGATACCAAGATGAACATCAGACTAATGATCAAAAAAGCCACATTTTTTTAGGATTTCACAAAGCAAAACTGAAACCCTACTTTTATTTTACATGTGATACAACAATTAAATATTCACACCAGTATAAAATTGACTTGATTGTTTGAAGGTTTGAAGTTCTATTTTATGCCGTTTTTAAATGTTACCTCTTTTAAATATTCTTACCAGGAATTAGGAGTATAGGCTTCAAACAAGAAACATACAACATTCAATATGAGGAAAATAGTCCATATTACCACATATCTTACCTTTGGTGAGTCTTTTAACACATCATTGAGAGATTCCATAATGGGAAACATCATATAAAGAAAGATTTGGATATGGTTTATTTGAACTCTAAAATAAAAAATAAAAAGGATTAATAGCATCTTGTTCATGGATTACTTACAGCAAATCAATATATAACTCAAATGTAGAGGGAGTACAGAGTAAATGCTTAATAAATACTAGTTAGCACATTGGGGTTTTTTTCTTCTACCTAAGAATTCCAAAAGCTCATATACTGGGAGGGAGTACTACATAAAGACCATCCCCTATCTCCTCACTCTCTAACCAAAGATATTTTCTTAGATTTCTCATATTTATAAAGGAGTCAAAGCATTGAGGGATATGGAAGAATTCATTAAATCTGTCCACAAAATGTCTTTGGCAAACATTATGATCAATTAAATAAAAGGGGGGAAATTGCCATCAGGTCTGGGATTATGAAAGCACCAATCTTAGCCCATCTCAGAATGAATGGTATTTTGGCCTCCCTATGCAGTCAGTAAAAGAGTATTATACATAAGGAAGTTGTAGTAAAGGATAAAGACCAGAAAACGTAAAAAGGACCATGGAAAAGTGAAAAGAACCCTGGATATGGTTTGTCAAACAACCTGGGTTCAAATTCTGGCTCTTCTACTTACTACCTATGTGACATCTCTGGGGAAGGCTTGCTTTCTTCTTCTGTAGAAAGAAAGAACTGGCCTCGATGACTTGTGAAGTCCCTCCCAGTTCTAAACCTTGATCCTATGATCCATTACAGGAAGAAGGAAAGATCAGGATGTAAGCAAACTAATCCTTTATAGAAAAACTCCAGCCATTAAAAACAAATTGTAGAGGAAGAGACATGAGTAACAACAATACTCAACATTCAGATGAGGATATTAAGGACAGCCAAAAAGCTTTTCTGATTTTTTTTCAGCATAATCAAATGTGAAAATGGGGAGAAATAGGGACAAGAACAACAATCAATTTTCCATGTCAAAAACCTTGGTTTTCAGAGATGCCCCAAGTCAGAACACAATGAAATGAGAGCCATACCCAGATCTCCTGACTCCTAGTCTTATGCTTGATTAACTGGACCACCAATATCCTATCACTGTGTCTGAATTCCCCAAATAGTCAACCCTTATAGGTAGATAGATAGATAGATAGATAGATAGATAGATAGATAAGATAGATAGATAGAAAGATAAGAAAGAAAGAAAGAAAGAAAGAAAGAAAGAAAGAAAGAAAGAAAGAAAGAAAGAAAGAAAAAGAAAGAAAGAAAGAAAGAAAGAAAGAAAGAAAGAAGGAAAAGATAGATGTCTTTTCTAGGAGTATGAATTATTCTAATGACTGAGATGGATGAAAAGCCTGAGAAGCAGAGTTTCTGGGTAATTTATCATCAATAAATTGATGGTCAGTGGTTATTCACAGTAACCAAAGACAAAACCATGGAGATCCTAGAATGCTTAAATATCTTTGAGAGAGAAGGTGTCCCTGACAGATGAAAACCCTGATTGGTAAATAATTAATGAGGAGGTAGATATATTAATGAGGAGGTGAGCTAAAAGTCTTCAGCTCCTCCTGCTGAGAACCTGACTTGATCATGAGACTCAGCCGCCTCCAGCAATCTGGACAAAGGAATCCATCTCTACTGAAATCATTCTGGTTGATTGCCTCCTTCACGTGCTGAGTTCCCCTGGACCACAATGTTGAGGTACAAGGGAACTGCTTTAGGGCTGGAATGCATCTAGATTAGATTCCGTAGATTACTCTAAACAGAAGTAAGGTCTTCTAGTTGGGTGGGGTCCCTCCCAAGATCACAGAACATATACCAGAATTTGGCCAATCTCATCTATCAGCCTTGTCCTTCAGAGACTGGCTGAAAAACCAACAAGACTGGTCCCTGAATGAGGAAATAGAAAGGAAAACTCTCAATCCCAATTTAACAATTAGTTATTAATATAATAGAAAAATAATTAACTTCTCTTATAACCTAAGCTGCACTAGGAAAAAAAGGCTAGAAAAACCAAATTCAGCTTTTCCCCCTTCTAATTTCTCTATTCTGTCAGTAGGACCACCATTCTCTGGATCAATGATGCTTAAATCTCTGACTCCTCTTCTTACTTGTCCTATTTTCAGAATTTTTTGTGTCTGTCTCTATAACTGTCTTTCTGTATCTGTGTCTGTCTTTTCATCTTCATCTTTTCTCTCTCTGATGCTCTTTCCTCCCTCTCTCTCACTTATAAATACATTATACATTGTTACAATATAAATGCATTATCTTTACTTTCAGAGAATTACCCTAACTCCCACATTGTATATATCTCCCTAATTGTTCTGTCTCCTATTCATTCATTCATTTGTGTGTGTGTTGTGTGTGTGTGTGTGTGTTTCATGAAGTATGCCTTCCCATTAAGTAAGCCATCTCACTCATCGCTCTCTGGACTTTTCCACCTCCTCAATAGCAACCTTCCTACCGTGGAGATGTCTCTGCCCTACAGCCCTAGCCCAAATTACCATTTCATGAGATATTAAGCCATGTTCACCTTACACACTCCCCCCACCCTCACTGCCAATTCCATTTTTCACTTTCTAGGTTTTTTACTTCTTCACCTTCTCCTCCTGGAGATGCCTTTTCTTTAAGGACCTCCCTTCTGTTTGATGAGTCCCTGGTCTGGGACACCATTTCATGAGGTGCCCAGACCAGACTCACTTTACTCCCAGCTCATTATACTACCAGCTCTACTTCTCACTCTCCAGACTTTTCTATTTCCTTCTTAGGAGTTTTGCCCCAATATGGACACAAGCATAATAGAAGTCCACAATTTTCACATGTAACTCTCTTTCTTTGTTCTTTGTATATCAAAATGCTCATATTTAGATTTCTTAAGTTCATTGAAAAAGAATCCATTTGACCACATCCCCTGCTAGTGGTCATTTAGTTTTTCCTTGAAGACCTCCAGTAAGGGGAAATTCACTACCCAGTCTTCTTTGGTACTGTTTGAAGTTTTTCCTGATATCAGTTCTAGATGTTTCTTTCTGTCATTTCTAGTTCTGCCCACTGTGACACAAAGCAGAATATTTCAGCACCTCTTCAAATAATTGAAAGACAGCTGTTATGTCCCACCTAAGTCTTCTTTTTCTAAGCTGAATATCCTCAATTTATTTGAGTAATTCTCATACCACATAAGCTCAAGGTCCTTCACCACCTCCTAAACATTCTCTAGTTTAGCAAGGCTGTTCTTAACATGTAAGTCTCACAACTAAATGGCATATTTCCAAAGTGGAATGATAAGGACAGAGTACAGTGGAACTGTGTCACCTTCTTAGTCCTAGACATCTATGTCTCTCAATTCAACCTAAAATAATATTAAGGCTTTTAGTATTTGTTGTTTAGTCTTTTCTGTCATGCCTGACACTTTGTGATTCCTTATGGGGTTTTCTTGGCAAAGATACTGAAATGGTTTGCCATTTCTTTCTCCAGTTCATTTTACAGATGAGGAAATTGAGGTAAGCATGGTTAACTTACCCAGAGTCACACAGCTAGCTTCCTCCTTCTCTCTACTACCAGTTACTATTTGGCTACCAATTCTGCTCTACTGTTGGTATCCAGAGGTCTGCTAAAGCCATCTAACAGGTGTTTGTGACAGGATTATTAAATTTTAAGCAAGAGTGTTTACATCTCAGAAAGAAGGTATTGCTGCAAATCAGTGTTTAGTTTATTGTTCTGTCAATTGTCTTGACTTAAGAAAGTGTTAGTAATGCAGATTAAACTTAAAAGTGTGTGTGCATGTTTCCCCTCCCCAGAGCCCAGGTATTAAACATTTACCAGCCCACTCTTTGTTTGGCTCTATAAACATTTCTTGATCTCAGCAGGCTTGAGCTGAGGAAGGCTCAGGGAATGAAATCATCACCAAACCAGAGGCTAATAATAACAATATATAATAATAATAGCAACAATGGCAATAAATGATGATGTTATGATAATTATATTATGGTTATAATATGATAATGACTGCCATTTCTTTAACACTTTGACATTTGCAAAGTGATTTTATATCTATTATTTCATTTGAAACTCACAATAGTTTCAGTAATATCCCTTTTGTCCATTCTTCCTCTGATATGAAATAGTTATGAAAAAATCCTTTTTTTGTCCTACTTACACTTTTTTGTTAGCTTCAGTGCTTTCTCCTATCTGACATTACTCTTCCAGGATCATGCCACACTTTAATATTCATTCTCTATTACTTGCCCTTGCTTCCATTTTAAAGAAAAGTCTTTTTAAAAATATACAACAGCGGGAAATGTTACATGCCAAGTTACCTAATACAAGGCAGAATATGATAAACATCTATAAAGACTTCATAATACTACAGTCATGGAGATAGTGATGGAAGGCTTTACAAAGAAGGCCAGTCTTGAGATCAGACTTAAACGATGGGTTGGATTTAAACAGGAAAAGAGAAAGAGGTCATTTCTAGACAGGGAAAAATTGACTAATCAAGGAAGAAAATGGACTAAGCAAGGCATAAATATTAGAATGTAGAGATAATATTTGAGGGCAATGATCAGACAAAGCTGGTTGAAATCCTGGCACAGATCATCTTTGTACTCTGTTCCTATCTACTAGGTTCATCTCTTATTTTTAAGGTTATAGGATTTGGAGCTGGAAAAAGCCTTGGAGAAAAATTAGTCCAAATACCTCATTTTGCAGGTGAGAAAACTGAGAACTGATGCTCTTTTCCACTGCTCAGTGTTGGTTAGAGAATATTACAAGGTAAGTCTGAAAAGGTAAGCTGAGGCTTGCTTGTTGAGGTCCTTGAATGAGAAGCTCAACAGCAGCATTCTTTGTCGCCTTACTGGTATACCATGGAGGGAGAGAGAGGAGAACTATAATGGCCACACAAGACAAAACCAGGGCTGACAGCACTGTCAACAACCTATAAACCACTATCTTCCTATTTGGGGAGGAAATTAAAGAAGGATGGACTTTGTCCTGGAGGAAATTAAGAGATTTAAGAGCAAGAAAGTGACCTAATAGCCCAGGAACCTAGTCTCCAAACACAAGCTATCTAAAACTATGT